TTAAAGCTCTTGCCTCAGAGTTGAAAGCCACACACGACCTTTTTTCTCTATTGAATGCTTCTTCTTGCAAATCTCCTGGTGACAGAAGCTAGTAATTTTTGTTCATTAGATTTTGTTGACTAATCTATCTCTATTATCTTCCTGGAAGATTAATTCTTCAGTACCCATTCAAATTCAAGGACCAATTGAAAGGGTTTATCAACTGAGTTCAATTATGTTCTCCTTTCCAGCTAAATCAGTGCCATCTAGAATGTCTCACAAGTAAGGCCAACTCAAGGATATGGAGGACTTTGACACCAGGCAGTGGCACTCAACGTGGGCTGGATTCAGCCCCTGCATAGGGCTATGCTATCTGACCCACAGGGCTCCCCCATGGGTTCAGAAATTTGACAGCACTGCTCCCTCACTTTCCAACATTTCCAGAGCTGTGGGGAGTCCTGCAGGCCGGATGACCGCCCCAGGAGCTGGATCTGGCCTGTGAACCAGGGGTTGAGCACACCTGATATAGGTGCTTATATAGAGAAAAAGCTATCAAGGATGTCCACTTAGACTTGAACTCTTTACCACAGTTGATCAGTGACAAGTTGTTAGAGGCATGCCGACTACTTTCTTTCTGGAATACCTTGCACAGCTGCTTTCCTGGACAGCACAGACTCCCTGCCTGCAAAATTATTCAGAATCGTTTCCCATTTGTCTAAAATTTGATATACATTAAGTACTCTGTTTAGAAGGCAGACATTTTACAAATGCCCACAAATAAATTCAAGGGATTTGAGTATGCCGTCTACATTAAGATGAGGGACCATGTGTATACTCAAGTCCATGCGAGTACACATTAAAGCTACCATGGATTTCCCCAACTCCTTTATAGTATTTGAAATGAGTCTAGATGCAGAGTCTAATATGCTAGAAATCAGCTAGTGTTTAAAGGTTTCCTCTCTCCTTATCCTGAACATTACATGCAGAAATGCACTGATGCAACAAGGAGTCTCACATTTGTCTACTGGAATTTATTTAGTGCTTCACACAGCACTAAATTCTACGTCACAATGGGGGGAGGGTGGAAATCAGATGCTCAGGCACCTGAAGCTATGGATCCAGTGCTGAGCTGCACCCATTCAAGAGACAGTGAAGCTTACCACTTCTGTTCATATAGCACTTCCACGGAGACAAGCTGTCACATACATCCTTCCAGAGCCACGGACCACTATTTCCCTCCTCCAGATATTTAATATATCAAACCGGGCTCTAGGTGCTTGTATCCAGAAATGATTAATCTGTAAGGTACAGCTGCTGTTTGAGCTCTGGAAGAGACTAGGTACTGTTCTTTGCTGACTGACCTAAATTACCATTTTCTGGCTTCATAAAAATTAACCATACCATCCACCCAGAAGCCAATTATGGCCAAAGTATGCATAGCAGCATGTTAGATAAAAACCTTGATTCCATGACATGGTGGCAGTTTGTATAAAATGAAGTGTATGACCCTCAGGGAACTCTAACGCTGTGTTTTCCAGATAAACACCAGTTGGAGTAGCATTTTCAAACAGTAACATCACAGAATGAGAGAGAGCGAAAAAAACCCATAGTTGCATCAAATATTATTGATGAACAATATCAAGACTGAGCAAGAGTTCTTTGCTGGAGTTGTACTAAAAACACAACCAAATATGTAACAGAAGTATGTAAGGAAGCTTCAAAGCCTCCTAGTGCTAAAGAATACACTATATAAGTTCCAAGGCCTCAACTTGAAACAACCACCAAGAGTAAGGATACTTTATAACCTCTACTTCAAAGGCAGCTCTAATGCAAGATTTCAGTGTTTTTCTGCAGCAACAGAGATTATTACAACATAAAACATTGATTTCCTGTAGCGACTAAAGCATGTGGCAGAAATGCCCCGTCGGTGCCCCTCTCCAGAGATCTGTCTCAGCCAGCCTGAGAGGCTGCTGTTGAATCCCTCACAGCGGGGATCTCTCTCCTTGTCTGCAGACAAAAGCCTGGAGCCTGGGAGGCGATGCTCTGGTCACCTGGGCAGCGGGGGGGAAAAGACCCGGCCCTGTGCGCGGGCCCAGGTAGCCAGGGATGCCATGCAGATTGGTCGGTGTTTAGCCAGTATTGGCAGCTTCGATTGGACCGGGCTGCTGAGGTCAGGGAGGATTTAAAAAGGCCTGGGCCAGGAAGAAGGGCAGCCATTAGCCATGCGGTCATCCAGGTGAATCTGAAGCTGGCTCTCTCCTCATCACCGCATGCTCCAAGAGTGCCCTGCCTCCAGAGGAAACAACCACCACCTCTGGATGATGCGAGTGAGTAACCTACTCGAGATCCGATCAGATATTTAGCTTACAGTAACTCAGATGCGTGTTTAAACGGCTACCTCCGCCACCCTGGTTTGCTCTATGGGATTCCTTTGATATTCCTATAAGATTTCTTGATATTGCTCTACCTTTTACCCTATTTCTGCCCTACCCCCTGTAATCAATAAAGTTCTCCTTGTGACCGGTGTGGGAGACTTATTGAGGGGTGGGTCTAAATTATGCCAAGGAGGCCCCTTCGGTCGGTGGACTAAGGGAGGCTTCCTAATCAGCCCCTGACTTGGGGAAGTGCCCCAAGTGCCTGTATTGGGTCTAGTACCCATTGGACGATCAGGCCTGTGTTTTCCAAGGTGCGCAGAGCCAGAAGTGAGTCCAGAGCCTTGGATGGTGGCAGCGGGAACCCCAGGCTAGCGGGTGTGCTCCAGGGAAGGGGTCGGCCGGACGGGAGGCACCCTAAGGGAGGCACTCGGAGCCTGGAAGGTGGTCGGGCGCAGGGAGGTGGGCGGCTCAACGCAGGAGCGCCCCCTACTGGCCCACCACAAAGCACATCTGCCAAACTTAAGTTCAGCTTAAGTACAAGATAATAAAATACTGGAAAAAGCATTTTTCTATTTGCAAACTCAAAATTCACTTGTTTATAGAACAGTTTACCTTAAACTAATTTGATCTAGGGAAAAAAATTGAATATTTTAGATGAATAAATCCCATAATGCCTAGGTATTAGTGGCAAAGGCATTTTATATTTAACCATTAATATTTTACCCTTAGAGAACGCAATTGTGATTAGTTCTGAGATATGAACCTCTCAAAAAATACAATTTCAAATGGCAACTAAATGAAGGTAAATTTACTAGAGAGCTCTTGTGCTTTGGTTCTTTTCTGATCTAATACCAAAGACAGACATGGTCTTAAGACTGCCTACACCTTGAGAAACCTCGGAAGATTATATGAAGAAATGCAGGTGACAAGGACATTCACAAGCATCTAGGTTGACTTAATACTGAGCCCCAACAGATTTCACAGATCAAAGTACACATTTTAATGCAATTGTTAACGGACTTTTCTTCAGTTGTGCCAAACTTGTATGAAGACATGACAAAGAATCAGTCACCAAAAGCAGACAAGTATACCCAGTCCACAAGGAGGGAAATAAGTGACAGGAGATCCAGTCAGGCACACAGCCAAGACAGTGGGGATTAGTGGTAGGTCAATGCATACCATCCTCAACAGACTTGGGCATAAGAAAGGTGTCGTCAGCAAAAGGAATGTCCAGAATGATGATCAGTGATGAGAAGTAAAAGTTGACATTTCCAAGCAAGTTTTGGAGTAGTTTGAAGCAAAGCCAGAAAGAGTCCCAAGCAGGACTGCAACCCAGGACGAGACATGGAATCACCATTTTGACTAAATAGAAGAGCATGCAGTGGAAGTGTACACAACTGCTGTTTCTCAAGGCACTCAAGAAAATGCCATGAGTCAGTAGGGTCATGGCCACATGTTTCTTTTGGGGACAATGATGGAGATCATCACTGACTAGTTTTTAAACAAGCAAGACCAAAAGGGGAGCATTATGCAAGTAGACAGTTGTGCTTGTGAGAAGCTGTCGGGAACAAGCACGGCGGAAAGGCAAGTCAAGGAGAGCTGCTTCTCCAGGACAATGCACTGTTCCACACATCTCAAGCTGCAGTTACCAAACATGGCTTTGAACTGCTTCCCAATTCAGCCCATTCACCACATTTGTCCCTCAGACTTCTCCAGGTCCCACCTAAATTGAAATGAAGTGACTGCAGCAGTTGAGAAGTTTCTGATCATGCAGGACAAGGATTTCTACAAGATGGGCATGAACAAGCTAGTTTGATGCTGGACCAAATGCACTGATAACAGAGGGGGACAATACTGAAAAATAAGCAGCCACTTGATTGCAAATAGCATCTCTTTGTGAGGCTAGAAACATCCTGAAAACCCCTCAGTACCAAAACCACCTCAGGCCTCCACTAATGAAAAGCTAAAATGTTTTTAAAGACAGTACCAAATAAGTTTCTAAAACTACAGTTTTAAGTCCTATCTGACTTGTGTCCAATTAAGCTAGATGATTAAAAAAAACCCAAAAAAACCCAGAACCTGATGTCATACCGTACTCAGCTTGAAAATGAAAGTCACTCAACCAAAAATATACTTAGGACAGGTAACAAGAAGAATGCATAATATGGGTAATAAGTTAATTTTGCAATGAAAGCCTAAAAACCCCCCAAAGAACAAACAAAAAAACCTTAAGAGCACATTCCAAAGGAGACAAATAGCATTTACTCTTTTACAAATGTGGATAACGAAGAACAAAGACAGACATTTGATTTTACATGGGTCTCACAATTTAAAGAGATTTTAGTTATCTACAGCAGCAGTTCCCAATCTGTGGTACGGGTACCACCAGTGGTATGCAGACAACCTGTCAGTGGTACGCATCAACAGATTTATTACAATTACTTTATATGACAAAAGTGTGCTGGTTGTACTTAAGGTTGTATCATTTTAAATTGGTGGTGTGCTGTCTGTCAGTCTGGGAACTGCTGATCTACAGCATATAATCTGAATGTGATGGCAGACTGAAAACCTTAAAAAAAAAAAAAAAGGTTATGTTGCTCATTAAAACAAGCTTAGTTAATAACTATGAAAAATTACAATACTAACAGGGATGAGAAACTTCTTGATTTCTTCCAAAGCATGTCCCATTCTGGCATATGCCTCTGCTGGTGGGGCAAATACTTCAATTAGAACATGCAGGTCATCATTTAGGTGGAAATATTTTGCCTCTCCACTTTTTCTCAACTCTTCTTCCTAGGGAGAACAGAAAGGTTCATTTTATAAAAGGCTCATTTTTATCAGAAAAAAAAGTGTAACAGTAAAATAAAATTGCTGCCGAACCATTTGCCATTTACAGATGGTCTATTCAAGTTTAGACTAAATACTACATTTAAACTGGAAAATATGACGCTGTATATTTTACTAGTAAACCTTAAAACCGGGAACTGCAACACTTGACACTATTGCTGTGTTGCCTACTAGAGCACATTTGTGAAAGTATTTTCAGGAAGACTCTGCTGGGGGCCTGCACTACCAACAATGAAGACATTCATGAGGGAGCTGGCATTAGGAGAAATTGAGACGAGGTATGTACAAGTAGGAGAATGATCTCCCTTTTCTCAAGCCATGGGCAGAAACATTAAGAACAGCTTGTTCCAATGTTGTGCAAGGTGACAGGAATTTATCAGATGGTATTCCACTTCCCCATGTGGCCAACACAAGTATCCTGATGTGTTCCAGTTACTCCCTCCTCCCCAAGGCAACACAGAATAGAACAGTTTGTGTTGCTTTGACTTGACAGCGTAGTACTTCAAAATTTATGTGGAAGTGTTTTTTATTCTTTTTTTCAATCACAGACTTGTGTTATTTTTATTACTTTTCCACTTTCAGGTTGGCTGGACAAAGGGTAAGGCATTTGTTGAATGAATAAGCAGTTAGTTTGTTCTGCATATTCTCAAGACTTCTGGAAATATCTAGTTCATCATGGAAATAACACAGGCTTAAAGGACACCAATCTAAGGGCACATTAAGACATTTGTGAGACCTGAACTAAGGTCACATGGCTTACTTTAAGCCATTTGATTGTAGACTGAGTCCCCACATGTTTTCTGGTGCTGGGAATGCTGTCTAAAATCAGGGGAGGAGTAGGTAGGATTTTTGGGGGGCTGGGCTTTCCAAGCCTTGGGCTGTGCTCTAAATATGTACACGTTGGGTTTAGATCAGGCACGGGTTAAGTGTAATGTCTGCAGAGACCCAAGGAAAAATGTCTTGCATTTGAAAAACCTTATTGCAACTGCATAAAATAGTAGTCTAATAAAAGATATTACCCCAAGAAATCCTTGTACCATGAAAGGGGATGTACAGGGGATCTGATTCTGGTAAGGTTGATAGGGTTTGATTTAAAAAAATCAAAACAAACAACAACAATACAAAGGAAAACACATTACTAGCAGTGTTGAAGCAAGTGGGGAGCAAGCAGGGTGACCGCCCCAGGCGCCAAAGCTAAGGGGTGCCAGCAGGCACTGCCCAGTCATGATGGGGAGCAGGACAGAGCCACAAGCAGCTTGTTTCAGGGGGCACAGGAACAGCCGGAAGGGGGGGGGGGGGGGGAGGAGGGAGAACGGCTCCTGCTGCTGCATGCACCCCTGGGCAAGCATGGTGGGGCATGTGCCCCCCAGATCTGTGCACAAGACGAGGGTGAGCTGCTGCAGGCTTTGGCCTGGGTGCCAAATTTCCTTGTCACAGTACTGATTGCTAGTAATCTGAGGCTCTAAAACACGTGACATTTCCTTGCCATGTTTACTTCACTTATCGAGCACCTAGTGGAACTCTTAACTACTACTTCTCCGAGTAGTCTACAAATAGCAGTTTTAAATGATAGGTTAAAGCTTTCTTATCTGTTCCTTTTGTGTTATAATTATGAGTTAGTCATAAATGACAATTAGTTCCAGCTTATTGTAGCTAATCTTTTTGTTGTCAAATTTACCATGTCTGACTATTGAATAAATTGGTTGGAAAAGCAAAGCAAAAACAATATGATTAGCTGATATAGAGCATTCGGCATAGGAAAATGAATGTCATAATTAGTTTGCCGAGTCTCAGCAGCCATAACTTCATGTTGTCAATACGATACAGGGACTATAAAAATAGAAAACAAAAACTTCCTCCATTAATAGCATTGTTCTAGAGGTTGTTTCCCCAGATACATATGGTTTTAAAAGCGGAAAATACATCAAACCTTCCATTTTATTCACTTAAATCCAAAATTGAGATCTTCAAATTTACCGCCTAACCCTTGGGAGATCCTTAAGTATGTCGACGTTTAAGTTTTCATCAATAAAGCTCCCTTAGAACATATAGGTCTGCTTTTCAACATGCCCAGAATCATCTTGACCGCGCTGAGCAACTCAGCCTCAGATACTCCCCAGTAATGACCTATGGACTATGCAGCCTCTCAGCCTATATCTACCAGATTCAATATAGGGGTCTTCCCTTTTATACAGCTGCAAAATAGGGCCCTAGTACAGAATGTGGAAGACAAGTTCAATTGCTTTTTCCACATACTTGAATACTCCTCCCCTATAATCCCCTATGGAGGAGTGTGCTGACAATGGATCTCTGGGTAAAAGGGGAGAACTACTGCTTCTTCAATATGCTTTTTTCATGAAAGGGCCAATACAGATGCTCATAAGAAACCTCATAAGAAGCTACAGGATTAAGAATTCTTATTGAAGTGAGACCCAGAATAAGCAATTCCAGGGAGATATCCTGCTCCTTCATGGCTCTTAGGGTGTGGACACAGGAAAACTTAGAGCCCTTTTAAAAAGGGGCATTTCAAAAGATGATATCTTCTAATTCCTGTGTGTGAATTTGCCAAGAACAAATCAAATGTAGCAAAGAAAAAAATCCAAAAAAACCACTCCAACTTTAGCACTAGAGAAAGAAGTGTTAAAGTTGGAATAGCTTTGATGTATTTGCATTATTTTCAGCTACTTCACAGATAATTAGAACATACCAGATGATGCCCTTTTGAAACAGCCATCTCTTGAAAGGGTTTTAAGGTAGTGGTTTCCAGTCCTGGAGCTGCAATCCCAGTTGGGGTTGTAACAGTAAGAAAAGGGGGGGGGAGGGAAATCAGGTTGTGTACTCCTGGGGAGGGAGGCATAGGAGGGCATGTGCCCCCCAAATGCGCACAGGGCAGGGATAGATGCAAGCTGCCTGCTGCAGGCTTGCGGCTCCCTGCCCTACCATCCTTCCCCCAGGGCAGAGCAGGGCAAGGAGGCTCGGTATTGCTGCTGGGAGCCCCACGCCAACTGCCCCGCCGTGGTGAGGCACCCACTGCTCACCTGCAAGTAAGGGCAGGAAGGGCTCAACTCTACACCACTGGGTGGACAGGGAGCCCCCTGCCATGGCTGCAGAGTCAGCATGGGGCTCCCGGCTGCAGCACTGAGCCTCCCTATCCTCCTGCAACGGGTCCTACCTGCTGAGCCGTGAAGGCCTCAGGGGAGGGCAGCAGGGTGGGAGCTCTAAGTCCACAGCAGTCACCCTGAATCCTCCCCTCCTTCCCCAACTACAGGCTCTGCTCTGGCCATGCTACCCACAGGGGGAGGGGAGCCTGACTGCTTGGCTCTGGCTGCAACAGCTGCCTCCCATGGGCAGCAGCGGGGGCTCAGGTGCTGCTGGGGAGGAAAGGGGGATGCAGGATGTGGCTCTGGGCCCGTAGCCTTGGAAGCTGGGGGCCCCTG